TTCCTTCCTTCCTTCCTTCCTTCCTTCCCTCCTTCTTTCCCTTTCCCTCTTTCCTTCTCTCTTTTTATTCCCTTTCCTTCTCTTTCTTTCCCTCTTTCCTTCCTTCTTTCCTTCTCTCTACTCTCTCCCTTTCCTTCCCTTTCCTCCTTCTGTGGCCCAACTCTAGTGAGAAGGGGTTTAAACTTTAAATCCCTTCTCTCTTTGCTCCCCCCCCCGCAGGCCAGCTGGGGAAGGGGAGGCTTTTGAAGATGCCTCCCCCCTTTTGCTTCCCCCTCTGACATAACTTCCGGTGATGTCAGAGGGCGTGGCATATGCTAATAGCCTAGTAGCTCATTAGCAAAAACTGAACCATGAGGATTTAAACGGAAGGTGTTTGCTGGATGCTACTGTGTAAATTAAGAAAAGAACTTTGGACTCTACCCCCCACACTTCACAAGTGATGTCCCACCCCGATTTAGAAAGTGTGTTTTTTAAATTGTAGCAGCATAATTAATACACCGGAGGAAAAAGAATAGTCCATAAGGCAAGCATAGAATCTGAAGTCAAGATTACTGCTCTGAAAATCTGCAATAAGATATGTGTGCGTAATTGACCTTAGTCTAACAATGCATGTTTCTAAATAGTGCTGGGATGGTGATCGTCATGCCTGTAGCCAGGATTTGTGGCATCTGGGGCAATTTTTTTTCTAGTGGGGCTTCCATTATTTGCCATAATGAGGGGGGGCACACCCCTCTACCTCCCCTGCTGTAAGATTTAAAGCTGATCAGCAGGGAGCATGTGGCCCGCTAATCAGCTGGAGGTCCTTTTAAATCTTGCAGGAGGGGAGAGAGGGGGGCAAGCAACCCCCCCGCTTCTTCTTAAAAGCATTTAAAGGATCCCTTTAAATGCTTTTGGGAAGAAGCGGGGGGCCTTTAGGAAGGGGACTGGCCCTTTAAGGAAGGGGGTGGAGCCCTAATAGTTCCACCGTAGCTATGGGCCAGGTGATCCTAGTCTCCTAATAGCAAAGCCCCTTTCCCCTCTGCAGTCATTAATAAAGTCTAATTCTGAGGCAACTGCCAATCAAGGGAAGACGTACTGCCCCTCCCCATTCTGTCCCTCCATTTCTCTCTTCTTTTGCTCCTTAAATTATCTCAGTTGCTGTACTCTCCTGCCCCTTTGCTGTGCCTTCTCTCCTAGTATTCTCAAGAGAGGCAGGTAACAGAAATTACTAGTGCTTTGAAAGATTATCTAACTTTCTTGTTGGGGGACACCTATTTTCCACTGTAGGAAAAGATATTATTCTGGGTGTACTGGATACATTGGTTTAGGGACTTCTCAAAGCATGCACAGGTCAGCTTTCATTCCACTAGAGTGTAAAATATCTGCCTAGCTGGGATTCTTGCTCTACCTGTTTTCCTTTCTGTTTTTTTTTTTTAAATGGTAATAATGTGTGTTTATTTTTAGGCAATATATGTACTACTCATTATTTTATTTATTAGTACAGATCTGGCTTTTGCAAAATGCATTACATGTTGTTGCTGTTCAGCTATGTCAAATGATAATTGAATTGTGTGATGATTGGTGTATTAAATATAAGTGGAATGAGTCTTAATTCGCTATCAGCTTAGATTTGTTCAATAAGGTTAGTTAAATTTCTGTCACTTCTAATTTTGAAATCTGCTGTCAGGTGAATTACTGCAGTAGACTTTTTCTGTGCATATAAGTAATGCAACTGTAACTACATCTGGACATCACAATGCTAACAGATGTCAAACAGGATAGTTCAGAATCCAACACACAGCTGATCACGGGAGTCAGTTTCTGGTCTCCCTCAGGGGAAATTTTGCTGAGTCCCTGCCATGTTGGGAGACAGCAATGTTTCCTGCATTGGGTGGAGGGAATCAGAAGGTGATTCCTGTATCAAGTGAGAGTCTGCTGCTGATCTCTCAGACTTGGAAAATATTTTGTTGCAGGTTTTTTTTTTTGGGGGGGGATGGTTGGTTTAGAAGCTGACTGCCAGCCGATCAGGTAGAAGTAGACTTCTGATCCCCCCCCCCCCCCTGTTGCTGTTCCTGGGCAAGACTTGGACGCAGCAAAGTTAGAGATCAGAAGTCTCCACCTTTTTCAGTTCTCAGTGTGCCAGCCTTCCCCAAACATGATTTTTTGAGGGTGGTGGCGAGGGTAAATCAGAAGCTAGCTCTCAGCTGAGTTAGGAGTGAGGGTCTGATATTAACCCCCCCCCCAATTGCTGTACCGAGCATGGCTTAGGAGGACCTTACTTTTTGATGCCCTTCTACGCCCCTCACATAGCTCTGAGAGGGCTGGACTGTGACCTTTCCCCAGATTTGAAAACCTTTCTATTTTTGGGGGGGTATTCACTAATGGTCTCCCCCCCAGATGAATGTTGACTGTAATCATCACAAGAAAGAAGGTGTGTTAAGAAGACTGAGCCTGAAATGCAAAATGGGAGCTGTTAGGGAAGGGTTATGGTCCAAGGTGGACATGAGGGTTAGATGGATCCAGGCCGTACCATTAGGATCCCCAGCATATTTAAAAAGTGATCTTTAAGAAGAATCGATCTTGTTGGCTGCTCTGGTTATCCTTAAAAATTGTTGGTAAATAATTCCGTGCAGTAGCCACTAGATGGTGCACTAGTCCCATTACTGTGAAATATTTTTTTTCAGAGGGTAGTTGGTCGGCAATAGAACCGCTAGATCTGAGCCCAGGAGTACATTAGAGACCAAGAAGATTTTGGGGGTATGAGCTTTTGAGAGTCAAAGCTCCCTTTGCGAAATATTAGCATCTCTGGCCTGTAGGAGTTGTACTAGCTACTTCATAATGTGATCCTTTCCCTGTGGTAGACAGAGGTAGTTTGCTGCTGATCCACATATTCACAACAGAATTAGCTCTTATGCTACACTGTATGTAGTGTCTTCCTGGTTTTTTAAAAAACGAAACAAGACACAACATTTAAGCTGCAACCTGCAGTATCTGTTGAAACGTTACATGTATTTCACATTCCTTCTCCTCCCTTCCACGAATACGCTGAGACCAGAAAGGCCATCTTGCCCTTGGTCAGCACCTTTGCAGATGGTTCTAAAATATATGCTCATTAATTTACATTCACTTGGGCAAGAGAAGGGCACCTCTAGTTGGGTGTCTGTTGGTGGTTCCGAATGTCTAGTAGTAGTTCAGGTAACTGAAGAGGCAGCCTGGCAGTACATGAAGATATGAGGGTTTGATTGTGAAGTTGTGCTGTCAAGTAATTCAGTAGAATTTGAATCCCAAAGACTGTGGCTCAAATATATAAATATCACTATCGAGTGTTTAGTTGCTGATCATTTTAGTGCATGTATCGTGGGAGCAAATTCTCTTGGCTTATCATCCCACATTTCATCTCATGGTTTGCAAGAGTTCTTTTGGAATAGTGGTGCAAGATATTTTCCAGGGCGGGGACCCATCTCTGTACCACCTGCATTCTAACTCTTTGAATATTACCGCTTTGCACATGTTGGTAGGAATATCCATTGAACTTTGACTTATTTGAGTTTAAGTGTAAAATTAAGAGATCGAAGAGAAGGAAATGTTCACAGGATATACTTGTTCCTTTTTATAGACAGTCTGACTTTTTATCCAGACAGTTAATAAGATGCAGTTTTGTCATATTTATATGGTTGTATCCAGCAGATGATTTCATGGAATGGGTGTTTCTCCACAGTCCCCTGGCAGCTGGCTGTATGTTTTTGGGCCACACAGCAAGCTACTTAGAGAAGGAGGAGAAAGCTCTCCCCTTCCAGCCCCTTGTTAGAGTATTCTGCTGGATCCAACCCATAGTGCTGCAGACCCTTTTCCCTCTCTAGTTCTGAGACTCTGCAAGCCTAAGCAAGACAGGAAAGGGCATGATGGATAAGGGATGACCCTGAACCCCGCCATCATTTATAAATGTACATGTTGGCTTTTGTGGGATCATTGGTCCTAATGATGAAAGTGTTGCTGAGGACTTGAAAAATGCTATTATTGATGTATTTGTGTTTATTATGAATGGCTTCCTCATACAAATCCGCTCACCAAGTTAAAAAAAACAACACCCACATAGCTTTGTAAGGTTTGAGTTCATGCAGATCACCTTGTAGATGTATTTGTGTGCAAAGTGGTATGAAGTTAACAGAAGTTAACAGATGTAAGAAAGGTCTTTCTGCATGTCTGACCTATGCAATACTCTGATCCATTCCAGCGTGCTGTGGGGTAGATAGTACTGAATGTAGCCCAGTATTCAAATCCTTGCTTTAGTTGCATTAGTGAAAGTATAGGTTACAAGCTAAATACCTAATTTCTCTCTCCCCCCTTCTTTCAGAATTATCCCGGTGTTACCGTCAAATACAAAGGAGCTCATTTTGGCAACCTGACGGAAAAGAGACATGAATTTAAGCCACGTGAGGGCCCTGGACCTGCAGACTATGATGTAACCCAGTATGTAATTTCCTTTCTTTAAAATTAAAATTCTCATCTGACTCACATTCTGGGTTCTGTATCATCACCATTCATTACTGGATGTGTTATACTTTGAAACATGAGTGAAGGTATGCAAGGAGGACATTTGAGGATAACTGACGAAAACTGAGGTGGTACATAACCCTCTAAAGTTTTGGGAGATCAGGCTTGTTCAGATTAAATCTTTTACATACCTCTTCCCCTCAGTTAATATATTTTTTCCTTTGCCATCATGTCACAGCCAACTGATGGCAATCCTGTCGGGTTTTTAATGCAAGAGACATTCAGAGGTGGTTTGCCACTGCCTGGTTCTGCATGGCAACCCTGATATTCCTTGGTGGTCTCCCATCCAAATACTGACTAGGGTTGACCATACTTAGCTTCTGAGATCTAATGAGATCAGGCTACCCTTGGCCATCCATGTCAGTATGGTAGCATGCGTAAAGGTTTTGTTGTATGATAGTAGAAATGTTGAAATGGTTTTAGCAGAGGTCAAATGCTGAAAAAAGGCATTTTAGCAGTAGGGATGGGCATGAAGTGGCTGACAAATGAATGTTTATCACAAATTTTGGCTGGTTCATGAAGAAATGTTCACAAACTTGAAGAACCGCCATGAACTTTCATGAATTTTGATGCAGTTTGTGGCGGTTCATGAAGAGCAGAAAGTAGGAGTATAAACCCCTGCTTTCAGCTCTTCATGAAAAAGCCAGGGGAGCAGAAAGCAGGGGTTTAAATGTCTCTGAACCTGCGGCTGCCAGCCAAAGAAAGCCCCTTTAAACAGTTAGATGGGAAACAGCTGAGCTAGTGCTGCCCAAGAAAGCCCCTTTAAAGAGCTGAGCCACGCCAAGCAGGCTGCCCCGGCACCTCAGCTGTTTGGGGCTAGCTGCCTA